AAGAGCAATTTCATGGTCTAAAAGCAAGCGACCAACATGCAAACGCATTAAGTAATTAATATCGTGAAAGAAAAAAGGGGTATTGAAATATTCAAGCATGTAAGAGTTTTAATTAACTTCTTAATATGAACAACATTCAATGCCTACAAAAGATCCTTTGAATATTGCGTAAGCTTGTTTTTTATTTGAAAAGATTTATTTTACTAATATCGTATTTCTTTTCAAAGTCCCCAGACTAGAAAGTTAAACAAATGCTAGAACAAGTTTAGATTATCCATAGATGTATACCCATGTGTCTGCTGCACAAAGGATTTATACATTTATGGATAGCCAAAAAAGTATGTCCTGCTACCGTGTATACTTCCGAAGTAGTTTCATGTTCGTTATACGCCAGAGTACTAATGTAAATATGACATCAATGAGAAATCCTTCTTGTTGTATAATAATAGTTTTGATCTGATGGAACCGAATAACATAAAATCACGCTTGTCTCGTCTTGACGAGCACTTTCCTCTGAAATTCTGATTATCTAAACGCAGTTGGTTAGGTATCTGTTCCCATTTGTTTTATAAAATAATGACTAGTACACATAAAATGTTTACCATCTCATGTAGCTACTTGCAATAGTTTAACTATCATTAAATAGTCGTAAAATACTACTTTAAATGTCCACAAAAATGAAAATTGCCGTTGTGAATTATATAATCTGAATTATAATAAATATTCAAGTTTAATTTTATGATGAAATGCGTTTCCATCATTTCACTAGATATACATATTATCTGATACACAATGAAAGAAACTTTTTTTTTATATGAAATTATATTAAAAAAAATTGTACTTTTACATGTTTAATTCTGACAAAAAAATTATATCCTATACTTTAATGTGTTAAAAGTTTTATTGCGTGTTACTTAATGCAAATGACTTCGATTAATGAAAAGACGGTCTTATCTCGTGCATGATTAATTCAATGTCTTGTTACGATTCTCGTATTAACTTAAGTACGTGTATAAAAAAAATAATCATTATTCATTTATAAATTGTAAAGGCAGAAGGACCAAAGACATCCTTTAAAAAGAGCAAATACCGTTTAAATTAATGTTAATAGTCAGTAGTATGAAGGGTCTATGATATAATTCAGTTTCAATAGGCGACTGCAGATACTAGTATTGCATAATTGCAACGTCAGTAGGGTACTAGACTAAGTATACACGAACACTGCACAGTATAGTTAATAAACTTCTCTTGTATTGACATCGCGTAACACGTTTGAATCTGCATACCATTCTTAAATGCTTTCGTGAATCAAATCTAAATAAAATTTCAAGTTGATATACGACGTATATCCTGTAATCTTTGATATGATCTTATATTAACTGAGGTTGGTGGTAATCTGAACGTAACAAGTATTGTTGTGACATATCCCATTTAGTGCCTATTTAACACGTTTTAACTTGAATACCATGAATACCACAGCAGATAACACAAGCCCAATGTCGATTATAGCCTAGTTTATAGACTTTTGATGAGTTTTTATGGTTGTTACTATGGAATATCAAAAGAGTAATGAATTGACGTTCGTCATCGATCTACTGAAAGATTTTTGTAATTCAAGTTAAAGTGGCCGATGCTTAAAAGCTAAGCAGCTAAAATGGTATTTCTGTTTAATATTACAAAATGGTATAAACATAAAGCAGGAACAGGCATAAAGCGTAACATATTAGCTTGGTTTCATTACATTGCATTTCACAAGACATAATTCTTCATTCAAAATACTATACTAAGAAAGTGTCTGAAAATCATCTCACTTTGCTCCGTGTATATTCAGACATCTTGGAGAATCCTGACAAACAGAAAAAGGTTTCTTAATATTTTAGAATGACAATTTAGATCCAGACCAACATTATTATTATCATTTTTAGTATTATTTTGGAAATACTTTTAGAGTAAAGATTGTTAAGAGATTGGGGTTCGTGTTGCTCAGTCTTTAGTTTTATATGTTGTGTCATCTGTACTTTTATTTGTCTGTTTGTCTTTTTATTTTTGGCCATGGCGTTGTCAGTTTGTTTTCGATCTATGAGTTTGACTGTCCCTCTGGTATCTTTCGTCCCTCTTTTAAGGCTGATTAAAAACATCCAACAGTTAAATTTTGCTGAACGCATCTGTTCAATAAAGTATTGGTGTACCAATACCATACAAATGATGAAATTACAACAGATCTTGTTAAGTACAAGATTGCTATTTCTAAGGATGATCAGAACTATCAATGAGTGAAGAAGACAAGGAACTGGTTATGGAAAAAACCCATTATTTTAAAATGTTTAGAAATGACAATAGTGTTAACTGCATGATTGTGTCAGTAAAATTGTATAAGGACAGATTAGTCACGAGGTATTTTTTATTTGTTTAAGTTAATAAATTAAGGATGTATTTATGTCAGGTTTAGGAATTTTGTAAGATGTTCGGAATCTACGATTCAGGGTAAAATATTTTGCCCCTTAAGATCGATTTTCCTTTTCAATAGCTCATAAAAGGTCATTTATCAAAATTTAAGCAAATTCTAGATTTCTTTTCTTTCGATTTGAGACCCAAATAATACCAATGCAAATATAAGGTAAAAGTCAGTGTCAGCCTTTTTCCCGCTATTTTAAAAAAAAATAAATATCTCGAAAAGGAGCTCCATAACCTATCAATACTTTTAGCTTATTTTGCCCCTTAACTAATGCTCTTCTGACTTATAGTATCAATTTTAAATTCTAGATTTTTTTTAATTTCACCTAAGGCCACACCAATTTGATTTGTAGTTCTTCGGACAAAAGCTCCAAAAAATATGGGGCGAGCGAGCGAAATTTTTTTGATTGTATCTATTTCTTGAAAATGAGTTTTTGTGAGGCGAGTGCTCTACAAGTGAAGTGAGCGATATAATTTTTTTTTAATTTTGCGATTCAGAATTTATGTACATGTTAAAACTGGGTTCCTTCATGGAAAAACAAGGAGAAACTTGCTCTAATGCATATAATTTGATGTATTGGTGCCTGTACCATACCCGACTTTCTTGTCACGCTGTGGTTCAGTTGATTATTTTCGTCAAATAAGCTTTGTCTGCGTGAATTTTCATTTAAATCCATACATGTGTATATATTAAGAAAGCACTGCAGATGAATTAAGTTAAACAAGAGGAATTATGTAAGTAGGATAAATGGCATATGTTGAATAAATCCAAATATTTGTATGTATCCCAAAAAATGCCCATACACAATATTTTTTGACGTTTTCATTATATGGTAATGATTGTTTATTGGCTGCTTGACATCCAGTTGGAACTATTTATCCATATTAAGGACGCCTCCAGGTTCGGGAATTTCTCACTGCATTGAAGACCTGTTGGTGACCTTCTGCTGTTGTCTGTTCTATGGTCGGGTTGTTGTCTCTTTGACACATTCCCCATTTCCATTCTCAATTTTATAATGAGTGATGTGAATATTTCAACAACATCATGAGCATGATGAGATAATAAAGATAGTTATATTGATATGTATGTAGATCTCAATGTATTAAAATATCACTTTAAAATACCTGTCACCACATTCACATGGATTATTCTGACTTAGCAAAATATACTCTTTCCTTTTGCTCCTAAAAGCTGCAATGCATTTAAAACTCGTTAACTTGACTGGAAGTGGTTGATAACACATCACAAATTATTATGAGCATGCCAATCCCAATACCACCATGTTGGAACTCTTAAATTTACCCTTACAAAAGAGATCTGCTTGCATGCCAAAAGACTAACAAGGGAATATGGGGTTTCATCAAAATAAGATAATTCTGTGATATTTTTAAATTGAGTTCATAGGAATTTAATATTAATTTCATTAAGGAGATGATGATGGTTCTAACAAATATAGTTCGAGATTACTCTGACGTCCAACGGCTGTTTTGCCAGACAAGCTGGGGCCATGGTCCCTCGGCCCAGAGCTTGTCTGGCAAAACAGCAGTTGGACGTCAGAGTAAAAATATTGATGTGATTGTGGTCATCTAACGTAAGATTTTTAATTTTTGCCTCCTAGAACTGGTCTTCAATAATAAAACGAGATGCATTTCGGATAACTGTGAGTTCAATAACTATACTTGTTCATGGCAATGAGCTGACACAACTACATGTTGGCATTCCGATTTTTGACCTTTTATTTACAAATCGATTTATCACACGTGCGTTTGAATCGACAGGAGCAATATATGCACCAGAAAAACGTCAATGTGAAAAAAAATTTCAAGGAGAAACTAATTTTGGAGCGGCATGCGGCCCAAAAATTTGCGGAAGCGGTAATTATTTTTTTTTATTGAAAAGTCAATTTCTCCAAAACAGGAGCGGTAAAATCCAAAGAACTATTAATCAAATTGGTGTGGCCTAAGTGCATCCTTAAGCTGATTCATACCCCCACTTTATACGACTTTAATGAAAAAAAATCATACAAACACATCTTGAAAAGGTTTGGGCATGCATTAGGAATAAAATCCTTTGTCAGCTGTCAGAATATCACGTTTACGGAAAGATTTGGGGACGAAAAATTTCGATTACCCAATGACCCAAACAAATACAATAAACCGATTGCTCAAAGATCATTCTAATCTTTCAGATGTTTATTACAACAAATGATTCTCAAAGTATCAAAACAAATTTCAAACCTCCTACTCAGAAAAGTCACGTAAAAACTTTAATATATCCTTAAAAAGTCAATTTTACTGTTACACTTTATGAAAAAAACAATTTTTGTGGTTACTCCATTTGGTGTAATTTCAATAGAATTGATGTGAAAAGTGAAACATATCTATACGCTAGGTTAACTACTTTTTGATGTGTTGCACACATTGATTATTAGAGCAATAAAATTTATTGATCATTGATTTGATAAAACCCTTTCAGTCAATGAATTAGTTAATGGAAATATGTTTTAATTTCAATTTTACAACATTCTAATGTATATACGTACAAATGGATATTTATCATGCTACATGTATTAAAGAGTATATTATATTTGATTGGATGTTCCATAAATTCATACTTTATTGTTGGAAGTTCTATCAATTACACCCCAGTTCTATTGTTATACTTCATAGTTTCTATTTCTGAAACAAGTGTAAATTGAATAGATCTATTGTTACGAATAACAATGGATTTTGACCACAGGGTGTGACGAGCGGGGTTTCTGGAAACCCCTGCTTCTACATCCCGAAAGTCCATTGTTATTCATTACAATAGAAATTGATTATTTTTTAAATAGCATGAACATAAGAAATTACTAATAGTGTTCACTACAAGTTGTTTCAAGATATTAAAAAAAACCCACACATTTTAGGAAATTCCAATAGCGAAAAAAATATTAAGTATCTATTTTGAATAAAAAAAAAGTCCTGTAAGGGAAAAATCATTTGATTGATAGCATTGAAAACTAAATAAAATTGTTCGCGATTTGCGAGAGAGAAAAAAATTCTGACCCCGACAAAAAACCATAACCCCCCTTTGAAGTTAAAATGGTTGCTCCCTAAATACTCCTTTTCTTGAAGGTAACATTTTTGATCCCAGTCATATGTCTCTATTCTAAAGCATTGATCTTAAAAAAAACGGGGATTCTATTTCCCGGACCCCCCCCCCCCCCCCCTGGATTGCCCCGAGTCCGAATATGAATGTTTGTTTATTCTCGAGAAGGGGGCTTCTTTTTTTTTTTATAAAATAGTTACATAAAAAATACTTTTATGATTACCTTCATTAAACTGATACTGGTAAGTACTTTGGGTTACAATATTGCCTTTATCTTTAGTCTCTTCTACCAATTCTAACGCTTGACTCAAGATGTCGTCCGTCTTATACCCGTCCATATTGACAACTGCATACAAGGAGCATGATGTATTTTTTTTTGTAACAAGAATGCACGAAACGGTAAACCTTGAACTACAGATCCATATTAGCACCAGGATTTAACGGGAATATGCAAAACAGCAACTTTGACATTCGTAAAATCAACTCACTTGTCAAAGTTTGAACGAACATAGCCAAAGTAAGGTTACTAGTGGGGTTTCATGTAAAAAAAATGTTTTTCTTATAAATCGTGATTTGATTTTGTCAATAAATATGCTATCCGTTCTTTTTCATTTAATAATCAATGTTAACAAATAAAGGGTTTAGCAATGGGTGTAAGTTAGTTATTGTTCTGCAACTCATTCATCATTTGTTCTTCATGTGATCATCATTTTATATTGTTTATGTTTCATTGCGTACATCACTTTATATGCTCCAGTTTTAGGAGTTTTATACAGGACAGTGTAGGAACCCATGTTACTTTCCCCTCTCTTCTGAGTGACGAAAACTGCTCAGCAGGCCGTGTGCACAACTGCAAGGAACATTCAGCGGACACGTTGTCCAAAGGAACAATTCGTGGCTAACCACAGCGTGAGTTACCTTTAAACATTACAAATTATGTCTTTACATCAGCGATGAACTGTTTTAATATATTTTCCTATGTTATAAAGGAACCATGAACATTTAACCGTTCAAACTGTTCGTATCTGCGATTACACAATTTAATTCAGACAGAACCCGTCTTGTGCAAGAATATTCATCTATTTATTATTATAAAGAACATTAACAGCTTTATAAATCTACGAACTGTTTATCCGTATTTTTAATGGACTTTAATTATCATTGAACACATTGTAAAATTGTATTTATATTTGTATTTTCAGTTTTTCACCATTTGGATTGGTAGTGAAATAAAAGTCAGCTCCTGATTGTTTTATCTTTACATAAACCCAGTCATCTTGGTTAAACTCGCTGGTCCGGCCAGTACAGTGAAAAAGCTACGACTTGCCTGTTGTTTTTCTTGGATAACGTACGCCACTCCACGACAGTCAGCAGACCCATAACGTAGTTCCAACGACAACGTTTCGTGCTAGTAAATTGACGGCAACCTGTCTTTACATATCCAGACAAGGAACGACTACGTAGCAACCTTTACACTGACAGCGGACTACATAACTTGTGTGTACTAGGCAGCAACCCAACAAGGTTGAGTCACCATGGATCCCAGTCACGTGGAACAGCAAGAAGAGGTTCAGCCCAAAGAGGGAGATGTCCCTGAACTATTAGAAAATCCGTCTAATACAACACATTCAGATGAAAATCCCGAGACTAGGCGAGTACGTGACCTCACGGAGAAAGGAAAAGGAGCTTTCACAGAAAAACGTGACAAGTTCTGTCAGGAACAAGAGGCTCTCTGGACAGACATTGAATCCCAGTTATTGGAAGTCACCACGCCTCCTAACGAGCTCCAGCAACTCCTAACAGCCCAGGACAAACTTGTTAAAGCCTGTAATAATTATCGTAGGCTCACAGATGAATTCCTGGACTTTCTGAAAAGGACCAGAACATCGGAGAGTCAAAAAGAAATAGAAGCATGTAATCTCTCATTGGGTTTTCGTCTGTCCAAAGTGGAACTGGTTATGGAAAAACTACACGAGCATCGCCTCGCCCTAACAAAGGCCAAATCCACTAAAACAAAGACCTCAAAGGGTAAGAAAACCTCACACAGCGGTAGCTCTAACGTGTCAGACATGTCAAGCCTAGCACGGAGAAAGCGTGCCAAGGCAGAGGCTGCTAAGTCTAAAATAGCCTTTGTCGAAAAACATGCCCTTATCCTACATCAGGAGGCAATGTTAGAGGAACAAGCCCTGTTCAGACAAATTGAAATGGAACAGGAAGCAGCACGCAAAAAGGCTCAAATGCAACAAGAAGCCGCACGAGTAAGCCGGGAAAAAGCCGACCTGAAGGCCAAATTTAACATTCTCGAAGCACAGAAAGAAGCCGTCGCCGCAGAAGCCGAGGCTCGTATCCTGGAATACGATGACAGTCAAGCGTTGGACGATCTTCCTAATGAGACAGAAGACCCGCTCAAACGGGTGCAAGATTTCATAAACAAACATCCTGTACCAACCGCCGAACAGGAAGTGTCAGGCCCTCTAAAGAAAAAACAAACTCCTGTAAAGCTAAGTCATGAAGCACCAGCGTTCGTGCCATCCGTGGCACTGAACTTGCCATCACAAACACCTGAGGTCTTGCCTACACATGCTAAGTCACCAGAAGTTAATGTATTCCCAGATCTGGGAACAATAACTGGCATAGGAAAACAGGGCGTTTCAGAAAAGATCCCTGTCTTACAACAAAAACAAGGCATTATTGAAGAGATCCCTGTCTTACAACAAAAACAAGGCGTTATAGAAGAGATCACTGTCTTACAACAAAAACAAGGCGTTATAGAAGAGATCCCTGTTTCACACCAAAAACAAGGCGTAATAGAAGAGAACCCTGTTGCATACCAGCAACCAATCAATCCTACGTCGGAGATAACCAGATTTCTCCTTACGCAAGGACCTGTTGTTCTCACGGATCACAAACTTTAACGACCGGGCAGAATCCTTCCATACATGGAAAGCCAGCTTTAAAAACGTCATAGACGAATTACAAGTTTCGGACTCGGAACAGATAGACCTACTGATTAAGTGGCTAGGGCCAGAGTCTGCCAAACATACCTTGAGTATAAGGGCAACAAATGCCAACAACCCAACAAGAGGCCTACAGAGGTTATGGCAGAGACTGGATGAGCGATATGGTTCTCCAGAAATGTTGGAGGCCTCTCTCACAAGCAAACTTGTCAATTTTCCTACCTTGACGAACAAAGATAGCGCACGTCTTTATGACTTGTCTGATATTCTATCACAAATAGAATGTCACAAGGAAAATCCCAAGCTGGGATGTTTGCTTGCTTATTTCGACTCTTCGTCCGGGATAAATCCTATCGTGGAAAAACTGCCATACGGACTCCAAGAAAAGTGGATAACAAGGGCTTCAAGATACAAGTCTAAATATGAAGTTGCCTTTCCACCTTTCACAGAATTCTCTGCCTTCATCAGGGAAATTAGCAAAATTAAGAACGATCCTGGTTTCATTTTTGGGTCAAGAGTCACACCAAGTACAAAAGGTGCTGCGCCAAAGTTCACACCTCAAACATATTCTGAAGTCAATGTTTATAAGACAGCAGTTGAACAGCAACCTGGAGACAGCAGTGAACAACAAAGTCTTTGCCTTTTGCATAATACAAAGCATACCTTAAACGAATGCCGAGCGTTCCGTGCCAAATCAATCGAGGAACGCAAGGAACAGTTGAGGCAAAACAATCTTTGTTACAAATGCTGAGATTCAACTATGCACAGAAGTCGTGATTGCAACGCAAGTATCAGTTGCAATGAATGCGGAAGTAAACAACACACCACCGCATTACACACAAATCGAGTGTACCAGCCCAAAGGTGCACCGCCTAGATCAGTCGACGGCGGGGAGCTAATTGATACAGCCTACGGCGGGGAGCAACTTGAGTTAGCTGAAACCAAGCTAACCTCTGTTAGTTCAACTTGCACAGATATCTGTAAAGATGGCAACAGTAGTAAATCTTGTGCCAAGATACTTCCTGTGAGTCTCTTTGACAAAAATAATCAGGACAAAGTAATTCGCATGTATGCAATTATTGACGACCAAAGCAACCGGTCTCTCTCCGCTCCTGAATTCTTCAGCCTATTCAACGTACAGGAAGAAACAAAAGACTATATATATGTTATCCACATGCTCCGGCAGCAAGGTTACTTCCGGTAAACGAGGAAACGGCTTTGTCGTAAAGTCTGTACAAGACAATACTAGATTCAATCTGCCTGAACTGATTGAATGCGATAACATACCCAATAATCGGAACGAAATTGATACACCTGAGGATATATTGCAATATCAACACTTGCAAGAACTACAAAAAAATATTCTCCCGATTGATGGAAAATGCAAAATCCTATTGCTCATTGGAAGAGACCTAATAGAGGCACATCACGTCCTTGATCAACGTCTAGGACCACCAAAGGCTCCATTTGCGCAAAAGTTAAACCTGGGTTGGATTATCGTTGGTTAAATACGCTCCGATAAGCAACATGTTCACCTTGAACTCACTACAAAGGAAACGAATCCAACTTGCAGTGTTGTGAAACCACATACAAAGAAATTACCTGAGTGTAATAAAACCAACACCCAGTCAAATGGAATTCAAACTGATTCGTTTAAACATTATCCCCGTTTACATGGGCAGCCGAAAACGAAATCAGCAACTTCGATCGTCAGATTTGCAGAAGCCGAAAAGTTCATTTCGGAAGCAACACCACCAAAAGTGAATGCCGACAAAGAAAAGTACATCCGAAAACATTTAATTCCCAAGGAAAGCTTCAATTCGCCTTTGGATACGCAAGGACAAGAGGAAAGTAGAATAGACAATTCCGACTTAAGTCACAGAGAAAACGAACATGGCACCGGATGGTCTACTGTATGCCATAAACGTAAAGGAAAGCGTCCGTTTCGCAAGACGTCCCCGTTGGATCGCATATCTGTGTCGAAAGGAGATTCATCCATCAGAACTACAGCCATGGAATTGGATCTTATATCGCCGCGATCTCGTCGGAAACACCACCTTATCTAGGAAAGAAGCTGTGAAATACCCAGCCTCCCGTTGGATTACTTCCAAGTTCATATAAGTGGAACTTGGGACGGCTGTTATATATTTAACATTTTATTTGTTTTAATAATGGAATAGTGATGTCAGATAGACCTCAGACGGGGAGTGTTCTGCAACTCATTCATCATTTGTTCTTCATGTGATCATCATTTTATATTGTTTATGTTTCATTGCGTACATCACTTTATATGCTCCAGTTTTAGGAGTTTTATACAGGACAGTGTAGGAACCCATGTTACTTTCCCCTCTCTTCTGAGTGACGAAAACTGCTCAGCAGGCCGTGTGCACAACTGCAAGGAACATTCAGCGGACACGTTGTCCAAAGGAACAATTCGTGGCTAACCACAGCGTGAGTTACCTTTAAATATTACAAATTATGTCTTTACATCAGCGATGAACTGTTTTAATATATTTTCCTATGTTATAAAGGAACTATGAACATTTAACCGTTCAATCTGTTCGTATCTGCGATTACACAATTTAATTCAGACAGAACCCGACGTGTGCAAGAATATTCATCTATTTATTATTATAAAGAACATTAACAGCTTTATAAATCTACGAACTGTTTATCCGTATTTTTGATGGACTTTATCATTGAACACATTGTAAAATTGTATTTATATTTGTATTTTCAGTTTTTCACCATTTGGATTGGTAGTGATATAAAAGTCAGCTCCTGATTGTTTTATCTTTACATAAACCCAGTCATCTTGGTTAAACTCGCTGGTCCGGCCAGTACAGTTATACACCTCGGGATACGACGTGTCTGGATAAGTTTCTTATCCAGACACACCTATCCCTCGGTGTATAACTATTATTTACAGAAACGATTATCTGTGAGTCACAACTCAACAGATATCAGTATTTATTATAGTACACTTAGAAAACCCCCGCCACATCGCGGGTCCGTGACTGAAATAAAGTATCCATGCCTTATTTTTAGCCTGGATTTTTAGTATTCGTATTGTCATTGATAAAGTCATGTTTGTTGTAAGGTTCACAGTTTTCTCTGTTTTTAAAATCTTTCTGTTTGAACCCGTCCTGGTTTTCTAACTACAATAAACTTACGATAAACTAAATTTGATTTTTAAATTAATTAACCAAAATTAATATTGGTATTGATGTGGAAGAAAACAGACTTGTTAAATAGTGTACTATAATGTAATATAGATATAAAACAACTAATGGAAGAATTCCAGGTTCTATAAAGGAGGGATTTACAGAAGGTAACAGGAAACTATAACCGGAAACTACATGTGACATATACTAGTGGTATCGGTATCGGATTCGACCCGGAACTTGTTAATTATTGGAAATATTAATGATGTTGAAACAAAAGGGCCTGGAATGGTGTAATTTTTAAACAACACCATTGTCCTGTATTAGTTATATGTAAAGTTGAATTCTTTGATTTGTCGTTTTTACGTCATGCCGGCTAACAAATTGGACCTCGTTATTTAAGTAGTATAGATTTGTGTAAAATCAGTATCGTTATCAGTAAAATGAGATATTGGGTACAAGATAATGAGACCGCAACCCAACTACGTAATCATACTAAATCTAAGATTACATCGAAGCCTTAAGAAATATCTTCATCGGACATTTTGGTTTAAACCATATTAAGTAAGGGTCTTTGCATCGGAAATAAACACATTTATTCTAAAACCAATTGTTGGCATGATATGGGTTATGTTCTTCTTATATATTTTATGATGGTATGATACTAAACCCCTAACGGGAGGGATTGTACTTGATTTTCATATGATGAAGACATAATCTTTCAATCAGTTTAATTGAGGTCTGGAGCTGGCATGTCAGTAACTGCTAGTAGTCCTTTGTTCATTTATGTATCATTGTCATTTTGCTTAGTTTCTTTTGTTACCTATTCTGACATCGGACTCGGACTTCTTTTAAACTGAGTTTTACTGTGCGTATTGCTATGTGTTTCTTTATTCTACATTGGCTAGAGGTATATGGGGAGGGTTGAGATCTCACAAAACACGTTTAACCCCGCCGCATTTTTGCGCCTGTCCCAAGTCAGGAGCCTCTGGCCTTTGTTCGTCTAGTATGTTTTTTAATTTTAGTTCATTTATATGTTTTGGAGTTGAGTGTGACGTCCATTTTCACTGAACTAGCACACAATTTTATTTAGGGGCCAACTGAGGACCACCTCCGGGTGCGGGATTTTCTCGCTGCATTGAAGACCCATTGGTGGCCTTCGGCTGTTTTCTGCTCTTTGGTCGGATTGTTGTCTCTTTGACATGTTCCCCATTTCCATTCTCAATTTTATTCAATTTATGCAATACATAAAAGTGTTAGGACTTGTGTCACGATTTCATAACTAAATGTCACCAGTTTATGTATTGATTGATTGACTGATTGATGGATCAAATATTCCATAACATACAGGCCGGTGATATGAAATTGTTTGAAACCAACAACTCACGACAAAATGGACAGTCAGAAAGACATAAATACTTACGGATAGACCGATATGATGATTCTTATTTACCCCATAAACTGCTGTATAATAAGGACAGACGTAACCTTTGTTATAGTACAATTAAATAGTTTATGAAAATTTATAGTACTAATGTGTCATTTTAATCCTGTCAAAACCGAATCAGCGGATTCTGGGCAGATGGTACCATCGGGAAAAGACATTTTACTAGGAACATAAGGCATGGTGGAAATAAATAGCATGTTTTAAGCTTTACCTATTCACAAACTATCTTATTTTTGATAATCCCACTACAAAAACGCCTTTATCCTCTTTTTTGACTGGGTTTGTGCTGCTCAGACTTTAGTCTAACGCTATTAACGATGGTGATATGTAGACCGCCAAATTTTATTGAATAGCCTTATATATTGTCACAGATTCAATGTGCGTGGCATTTGAAATTTGTGAAAAATAAAATTATCATGAAACCAATACGTGTGATTTCACAAGAAAGTGACAGGATAAATAATGTGAAAATAGAACATTGATTGGTCAGAAACTTTTCACTTACAAATTGTCACTAAGAATCCCCAAGGTATTATATATTATAGTTTTTTTTTATATACAAATGCATGCATCAGCGTTCCTGTATTTCCCTATGTCGTATGCAGTACACGTATGCCCAGAGCCACATATAGTTGGTAACATTTGTATTATAATATTTTGTTAATGATCGTCTAGACATAATAATGATCAGTGAAACTCAAAACCCATAAACACCTATATAAGGTAAGAAAAGAAAAACAAGAAGATTCCATTTATTCTATTTATAATTTGTTAGTTAGTTTACAAGTGCACTAATTTTAAAACATAGACCAACACGGTCGAGAAAATGGTGGACTGATGTTTTTCGCTTCCCATAAAGAGTTGCACCAAATCACACGAGTAAATATATGTAAGATGACCTATTTATTTGAGCTCTACCTCAAATTTATATATAAGGCAACGTCAGTGAAGCGTTGTATTGGGTTAGAAAATTTTCTTATTGGAAAATAACTAAAAATACGGTTAGCAGTGTAACGTGTAATGATAGGTATTTGTTATTTTGACAAGATTCTTTTCAAAATTTTGTATAAATCATTCCGTAACTTAGATTTACCATGCTTAAATCCTAACTGGATGCCTGTGTTATTATTGATGTAAATAGATTCTTGTATACACAAACTAAATCAATTAATGTTAAAAGATAGAAAGCTCATTATCATAATTTTAAAACGCACTTTATTTTTAAAGCTTATAGATATAAGCAGATGTGGTATGAGTGCCAATGAGACAACTCTCCATCCACGTCACAATTTGTAAAAGTAAACCAATATAGGTCAAAGTACGGCCTTCAACACGGAGCCTTGGCTCACACCGAACAGCAAGCTATAAAGGGACCCCAAAATGACTAGTGTAAAACCATTCAAACAGGAAAACCAACGGTCTAATCTATACAAGAAACGAGAAACACTTAAGAACCACATCAACAAACGAAACTGACTGATCATCAGGTTCCTGACTTAGGACAGGTGCAAACAAATGCAGCGGGTTTAAACGTTTTAATAGGCGCAAACCTTCCCCCTTCCTGAAACAACAGTGTAACATCACAACATAGAAAATTACATGTATTATGTCTTTTTGAAATCCTGCTATAAGCCAAAGGGTTATTGATTCCATTGAAATAATTTTCTCTCAATTTGGCTCGAAAAACCCTAATTTCCATTTGATATTACATTTACAACATAAAAGAGCTAAATAAATAAAACTTGATGTGACAAGAGCACAACGTTCTTATCTTTCTTATGATATGCAAACTGCAAAGACCTAGACGTAATCAATTTTGAGATTTGGCGATTAACAAGAGGATACTAATTTGACGACGATCAAGAGGTTTCAATAAATGACCAAGAGTTAACGAAATTGACGATGACTAAGTATATGTAAGAGAATGATAATCCCTTTCTTCATGGTTAAATATTTTTATAATGGACAAAAGTTAACTAATTTCACAATAACCAAGAGTTAACATATCTCACGATGACCAAGAGATCTAATTTGAAAATTGCCAAAACTAATTCAATTGGGCATTCTACTCGGATTCGTCTGTTGCTTCGCCATTACTTAGTATTTCATTGAAATTTGCGTTCATAACCATTTTTGTTAACCAGCTAGTCTCTTATGAAAATAGATGACACTTTGAACAGCATAAATGATCATGGTAAAAGGCGAATTTCAATAGTTAGTTATGACAATCTTTGGGAAGAAACTAAAATAAGGACTCGTTTCTCTGAAGAAATACGAAGGAACAGAGATGCATCTATATTGCAGTATGCTTGTTTTCAGTGTATTAGGGGACGACCATTTGATATTCTGGGGGGGGGGGGGGGGGGGGGGGGGGGGGGGGCAGGAGGATTTGTTTTGGATCGGTTATTTATTTTTGTAAACTAAGAGGACAGATTATTTATTTTCTGCACTGTTGAAGCAAGATTTTTCATTTTCATTAAAACAAGGGACTGATTATTTATTTTCACAACTATATTGATAATATTTGAAAACATACAATTTTTAAATTCATTTTTTATTATAAATAATACATGTACAGTCAAGTCATTAATGTACCATTTAATCAGAATTAATCATCATCCTTTGCGGAAATGAATCTTCTGAATTCCAAACTGCATATACATGTATTGCATACATACACGGTATTAGAGTTGGGGCTGTGACTAGCCTCTTTTAAAAGTATTGCCAAATATATTTACGCCGAGCGGAGCGAGGCAAAAAAAATTTGAAGGGTTTTGAAGCCGTTGAAGGCCCCAAGAAACTATAGAACAAATGATGCAAAATCGTGCTTTCTAGGCGTT